ACGTTTTATGACCTTTTTTTTTTTTTAAAAACATGTTTTGTGATTCCAAAATAAATTTAAACAAAAAAAAACAATAATAACGTAGAGAGTTTTATTTATAAGATTCAAATTGTGATTGGAAAAAAAGTGTGGTGGAAGGTATTTTTACATAAAAATAGGGAATTCAAAACTCTATAGTCACCTGTTGACTAGTTATAATAAATTATTGGATAAACCTCAACTTTTAAATATTATATATATATAAAGAAAGAAAACATTAAATTTTGATTTTTCCCCCCCACCTCCCTTCAAAATGTCAACAAAACATTTTCATATTTATTTTTTATATATAAAAATTATATTTAAAAAATTTTTTTAAAAATTTATATCAAGTTAAAGCTGAGTAATTTTAAACAAATTTTAACAATTAATATTAATAATTATTTTAAATAAATATATAGCTTTAAATTAAAAATTTGTGAGTTCTTATTAAAAATAAATTTAAATTAACAAAATCATAACTGTGTAAAAATAAATTTCATATAAAAAAAAAAAAAAAATTTATAATGTAAATAATTTTAAAACTTGAAATATTTTAATAAGGAAAAAATATAATAATAATGTCGTCGCTTATTTTTTGTAATCCAACCTGAAATAAAAAAAAAGGAGGGTGGGAGGGGGGTATTTTGATTTTTTTTATGAGTAAATGATACCCCAACGACGTAGGAGACGATGCTTGGAAAAGTTTTCTAGGGAATTCAATTAATTATTTCATATCTTCCGCAAAATAACATAAAATTAGACACTAATTATCAATTAAATATTATTTAAATAAATATTGTTGATCTTTTCATGCGTTAAAAATGACAAATTTTGTAAAATTTAATTATTTGTTCTATTGTTATTATTATTATATTAAAGTGAAATTTCTGAGAAAATTTTTAAAATTAACGAACGACGAGATATATAACATTACCAATGAATGAATGAATGGTTGGTTGGTTGGTAGCACTGTTTTTGTTTTGTTAAGTTTTTCTCTTCTGCTTATTTCATAATTCAAAGTGTTGAAATGAAAGCGTTAGCGATTGTATATAATTGTATTATAATTAATTTTCATTTTGAACACATTCTTTTTTTTACCGAAATGAATTATGAAAAGAGAGAGAGATTTGGGCATCTGATTTCTCTTTTTACCTGTCAAATAAATAGTAAAATGATTCTCACAAAATCCTTAAATATAACGTAAAATAAAAGTTTCTTTTTAAAAAAAAAAAAAACGTTCCACGATGAAATTTATCCTTGAAATTTAATATGATGTACATATATATTTAAATTTAAATTTTTACAAATTATATTCATATATTTTTTTTTACAACCAGAAGCAACGAATATAATAATAAACTTTAATAAAGAAAATAAAGTTTTAACGGTTTTTTTTTTAAAAATTAAAAACAATTTAAATTAATATATATATATGTCGTGGCCCCTTTAGCTATATTTCTTAATCTTTAAATTTAAAAAAGAAAGTATTATTATAATTCACCTGTAAAATATTCTAATATAAAACAATCAAATTATGAATATGTATGTGTGTGTGTGTGTGTGTGGGCGTGTGCGTGTGTGCGTGTAATAAAAATTTTTGTATGTAAATTTATAAAATTTCATCATTTGATTCACATCATAATGAATCCACCATCTTTTTTTTTTTTTTTTTTTCTTAAATTTTATTTATAAATTAATAATCATAAAGAATTTTGTTAAGAAAATAATAATAATAATAATAAATAAATGATTGTAAATTATTTAAATGTTTGAAAGAGAGAAAATTTTCCATAAAAAAAAAAATTCAATAGGTGGTAACTTTATTAAGGAATGAATTTGAGGAGGATACATAAAACTTTTAAACTATGAGTAAAGAATTGATCATATGGGAAATTATTATTATTATTAATTTGAGACTTTGTTTAATTATATATATATATATATATATTTTATTATTATAAAATATTTAACTAAATCCGTGAAAATGAAACGTGAACTTTATTTTTATATATAAGTTATAGGCTTAAAATTTCCACACTCAATTGTCACAATATTTCCCTTTATTATTATTATTATTATTATTATTATATAATTTTTTTAACTAAAAGGAAAATTAAAATACATTTATATATTTATATAAAAAACAACTTTATTTAAATAAATTTGAAAGAAAATGATAAATCCAATGGATATGGATGTATGATGTATTATTATTAAAAAAAAAACAATACAAAATGATAAAAACAACACATAATGATACTTAAATAATAGAAAAAAAAAAAAAAAACATTATTTAAATAATAATGATAAAATAAAAATATTTATCATAATTAAAATGATTAATTAATTCAAACATAAAAATTAAAATCAATAATAATAATATTTATATAATAATTATATGTCAACGTCATTATTTTAAAACATTTTTTTTTTCTTCTTATTTTTTAATTATTATTATTATTATTATTAATTTTTTTTTGTTTACAATTAAATTATATAAATAGAAAAAGATTAAAATTAACAAATAATAATAATAATAATTTTTACTCTTATATTATACAGATTAGATAGATAGATAGATAGATATTTAGATTAGTATAAATTATTTATTTAAATTTTTTTCCGATTTTTATTAATTGTATAAAATGAATAATAAATAAAAATGACACGAAAATAAATTATTAAAATTTTTGCAATTGCAATTGCAATTTCGATTTCAATTTCAATTGTTTTTTTATTGATCTGTTTACAAACGATAGAAAAAAAAAAAAAAAGTTTTTTGATAAATAAAATAAAATAAAAAAACTTATTTTCTTATTATGTGTGTTGAAAAATAAGATTTAAAAGAGTATTAATAAATATTATATATAAATAGATAATTAATTAATTAATTAATAAATAATTAAATTAATAAAAAATAAAATAAGATATAAAAAAAAAAAAAACAATTAAATTTGTAAAATATCCAATTTGTACGATTTCGATAAAGTTTTTTTTTCTTTTCTCTCCTTTTTCTCTCTTCTTTTTCCCCTCCTTCCTCCTACCCCACCCCCACCCCCGCTTTTCAAACCGTGAAAACTTTTTTTAAATGAATAAATTTACAATTCATTACTTTTTTTTTTTTTTTAACTACACAAAATTTTAAGAGAGAAAAAAAAGGAAAATTATAAACTTTACTTTACACAACAATAATTCATATAAATCAATTTTAAATTTAAAAAAAAAAAAAAAAAAAATTTAAATTATTTTTTTCGTTAGTATAATTTTCTATGTAATTATAATTGAAATCGTTAATGATAATAATAATAATAATAATGTATTATTAAATGTAATATTAGTAAATCCGTTCGATCAATTGAAATTTTTTTATAATGATTAAATATAAAGTTTTTCATCACAATAAAAACAAAAAAAAAACATTACTTCTTAGATAATGATAATGATATTTAAAACAAAACATTCGTACGTACAAATGTAAACAATAATAATAATAATAATAATTAATAATAATTTTTCTTCTTTTTTTTTTTAAAGATTACAAAAACGCACAACAACAACAACAAAAAAAAGAACATAACCGTCCATTTATATTATTTTATTTTATTTAATAAAAAATTTGAATATTTAATGATTTAATTATTAAAAAAATATTTAAAAAAATTAAGTCAATTTTCGTGTTTTTTCAGTTCCCCCCCTTGCCCTCCCCTCCCGCTTGCGATAAATACAAAATAATACATTAGATTTCAATTCGGTAAATAAATATTTTATAATTTATTTATTTTGTGATATTTCCCAACCGTTTCTTTCTTTTTTTTTTACAGGTACGCAACAGCAGGAGCCGCAGCAGCAGCAGAAGCAGCAGCAACAGCAGCACCGCCATGGCTTCGATTTGAATATGTAAATGATATGTCTATAAAATTAATTAAAAAAACATTTTCTACTTTCCTTTAACATCAATTTCAGGTATGTTTGATATTTTCTTATTAAATAATTTAAAATATTTATATCTTGCCTTGACACGATTCGGACGTGAAAATCATGTCATATTATTATTATTATTATTATTATTATTATCATTCAAATACCCTTACTTAAAAAAAACAATATTCATTTTTTATATAATAATAATAGTAATATTAATTCTTTCGTATTTTCCCTGTTGAATTCGTAATGGTTCTTGTTTTTAACAAAACAGGTATCTTCGCCTGGAATCCTCTTTGTTTGTTTATCGGACAATATTGTAGAGTGTGTGCGCGATCTCCAGTTTCTCCACAAATCTATAATTTGATATCCCCGCGCCCCCCACAAAAAAACATATATGTTAATTACAATACTAATAATAATAATTATTTTTAACTTGTAATTATAGGACTTGATAATAATAATAATGATAATAACCTCGCAAACGTGTTTTCTCAAAACCGGGCAAGTTAATTTTTTCGTTTTCGGATCGTATAAATAATGATTTAAATAAATATCAGGTACTTCTTTGTTGTTTTTGCAAAAATTACACATCATGGGCCGAGTGTGTGCTCCTGAAACAATCAAAACAAAAAATTAAACCATTTTCCAACTAGTCTACGTTTTAAAATAATTAATTAGGAAAAAACATAACGTTTACCTCCTTTTTGAAATTCCATCACTTGTGGATTTTCTTGAACTTCTTTGTGATGATACAATAATTTGGGATTCATTAAATGATCCCTTTGAGGATCACCGGATGCAACAACTTGCGGTAAAGTCATAACGGATTTTCCCAAACAAAAACCGTCTCTCTTTTCATCGTAAAAATTTCCTAAAAATAAACCGGGACGAATGTTTCCTCTTAAATTATTATTATTATTATGACTACTACTACTACTACTATCATCATCATCATTATTATTAGTATTAGTATTGAATTCTCGAAAATTACATCTCGTAGATTTATCATCGGGCGAATTTTTCACATAATTATTATTATTATTATTATTATGATGATTGGGAGAAGATAAATAATCTGTGATGTTTCTTTGTGGATTTTGCCAAAGACAAACATTTGATTTTGTATGAAAATTTAAATTCGAATTTAAAACGGTCGTTAAATCAAATTCTTTTTCTCTTCCATCCAAATCCAACGACGAATTTTTAATATTATTAAAATCCAAAACTTTTGACGAAGATGGCGACGAGGAAGATGGCGGCGATGATGACGACTCACCACCACCACCACCGCCATTGTTTGAATAATTATTAACTTTAACATCGTTGTCAATATTATTATCGTTAATATTATTATTATTATAGATTCCAACCCGTTAAATCTTTTGACGTTATTTTTTTATAACAATTTTTTTTACCAAAATCAGGATCGAAAGTCGAATGAAACGGATGATAATAATTTAATGGTGATAAATTTTTTTCCTGTTTGTTTTCAACATCCGTATTATTATTATTATTATTATTATTATTATTATTATTATTATTAAATGATGAATTTTCTCCTTCGAAACTTTGCATTTTTCCCTCCTTTTTTTTTTGTTTCTGTTTGTTTCAAATACCTACAACAACAACAACAAAAAAATATTAAACAAAATTCATTTCGAATGGGGTCACAGTCAATGTTTATATCAAAAAAAAAAAACCCCACCAAAAATTTTTGGAATATTATCATTGAAAATCATTTTTGGGACACAACCAAACCTTTTAACTGGACAAAAAAAAAAAGTATAAACAAACAACAACAACAACAACAACAAAGAGATGATAATTCCTTTTCATTGAATTTTGAAATTTTATTATTTGCTAATTACCTAACACGCACATACACGCAAACAAAGTTATTGAACCGTCATCGATAAAACCCTCTTGGTGCAAATGATAATAATAATAATAATAATAACGACGACGACGACGATGATGATGATGATGATGATGATACTATAAAATAAAACTAAATTTATCTTATAAGACACACACTCGAGCTTATTCTAATAAATAATAATAATAATAATAATAATAATAATAATAATAATAATAATAATAAAGAATATTTTGTCGGATCAGCAAAAACAGTCAAAACAAAAAAAAAAAAAAAATATTTTTCCATTTTTAATTTAATTGAAATTAAGATTAACGGGGGGAAGAGAGGGAAGGGAGGGAGAGAGAGAGGGGAGGGGGTTTCCCCCGTTTTAAATTCCTTCTATTCGTGAATACAAATTGGAAAAAAAAAAACAAACATTTTCAAATATCTAACAATATTTTTGTATTAAATAAATAAAATATATAAATAATTTTTTTTTTTTTAATTTTTTCAGCATAAAACTTATTTATAATCCCACCCCTCCCCCAAAAAAAAATAAAAGGGGGGGAGGAGGAGGTATTTTGTCAAGATTTGAGTCATTTATTTCCAAGCTAAAATATGTCATGATTATTTTTTTTCTAAGAGAGAGAGAGAGAGAGAGAGAGAAAAAAGGGTCATCAGATATTTGTCATTACAATAAAATTAAAAAAAATTTATTATAAGATACCTGAATGATTTTTTAAACGATGATAATGATGATGATAATTCGGGTTCAATTCGAGGAAAACAAAAAAAAAAAAAAAAAAAAAAAAAATGACCCAAACGTTCATATCCGGTGTCCCCTACAACAAATCTTTTATAAGTAAAAAAAATTTATGTGAATTTCTTGGGAATGATCAATTAAAATACATAAAAAGAAATAAATTAATAACTAGAAATAAGAAGAAAATACCGAGAATAAAACATTTAAAAAAAATTTAAATGTAAACGATTTGAAAACGTTCAAAATATTATACACAAACATTCAATCGTCGTCGTCGTCGTCGTCGTCGTCGTCGTCGTCGTCTCCATTTTCCGTTACAAAATCCTCAAATCGAATTCAAAAATTTTACCTTTGAATTGATGTTAAGAAAAACAAATTTACGATAATTAAAAGCAAATAATATTATTAGTAGTACTTAAGAATCTTACCTTTCTTTCCTTTGAGAAATAATTATAAATATATATATATATATTTCAAATAAAATAATGATAATAATACTTTTAATGTACTACGTATCCTTCACCAATAATTATTTAATTTTAAATAAAGTAGAAAAATTTACCTTTGACTAGTCGTCAACAATGAAAGCCCAACTGAGTTCGTACCAAAAAAAAAAAAAAAAAAAAAATTTTTTTTATTCGTCTGCGTTTTTTTTTTTTTTTTTTTTTTTAATCACCATAGAAATGATAATAATAATTGTTACATTGTTTAAACGGTTATATATATTTCTTATGGAGAAGGAATAGAAAGAGCGTAAGGGCATAAGAGACAAATATTTCAAGTTGAATATATTCGTAATGGAAAATCGTAGTAAATTAAGAGTCATCTTAAAATTATTACAATTTAAATTACTTAAAAATTGTAAGAAAAATAAAAAATATGTTTATGTGTGCGACGAAAGAATGTTTTTTTTCATTTTTTATTATTATTATTTTTTTTTTTTCAACTCTATTTTCCTTTACACCGTTGTTTCATTTGATTAAAAAAACCATTAGAAAGAAAAAAAAAAAAAAAAAAATTTATTTTAATTTTATTTCAACGGGTAGAAATAATAATGATAATAATAAAACTTTATAGAAACAAAAAACTAAACTTTAATATGATGTTAAACTAATAAAAATTAGTAGCCCCTCGTGTACTAATGAGAAATTAATTTTTTGTTTGTTTGTTTTTTGTTTTATGATTCCCGTTAAAAATAAAAAAAATTTTTTTTTTTTTTTTGTCTGACCCATTTATCAACACCCGATTTAATTATTAATATTTTTTTTTTTTATTTAAAAAGAAAAAAAAAACTTACCGAAAGTACTAATGTCGTTTATAAATGAACAAAGATAATTTAAAAAATTTTTTTTTTTTTTTTTTTTTTTTACTGACTAAAGGCGAAACCTTAAACGATAAAATTTTTTGACAAACAGGACAAAAGGACGGAAACGTAAGAAAAATATCATCTACGATAAGTAATTAATAAGCGTAATAATTTTTCTAATATTATTATTTGACGACGATAAAGTATCTTTAAAAGGGTTGCCACCATTGCAAATTTTTTTTTTTTTTTATTTTGCGCGAGTTAGTTCAAGGTTATTCAACAAACGCAGTGACGTATTAAGAAAGGTTAAGGTTTTTTTAAATTTATTTAATCGTGTCAAATATAATTTTAAAAAGTTAATTAATAATAAAATAATGAATTATTTAAAGGAAAATAGTAATTTAACAAAAAAAAAAAAGGAAACCATTTTCCCAAGGTATTTAGAATCATTTTTTAATAACGGGCAAAGTGATAAAAAAAAAAGACTTTCTAATTTGAAATAAATGTTTGAATAATAAAATTTTAAATTTAAACAATAAGATGTTAAATATATATATATATATATATATATATAATATTTACCTTTAAATAAACAATGTGTAAAGGTAACAATAATATAGAGGTAAAAAATATTATTATTATTATTATTAAATGAAAAGAAAGTTTTTTTACAACAATGTCATTTTTTTAATAGATACAAAAAACATGTTAATGTTTTTGTAAATTACCTGAATTAACAAACAACAAACAACAAAAAATGAAACAACAACAATAATAATAATAATAAGAAAATTAAATTAAATTTAAATTTTATTTAAATGTATTTTTATAAAAAAAAAAAAAATATTAATTTCAAATAAATTACTATATAAAATATTAATTTCAAATAAATTAAATTATTAATATTAATTTTAAATTAATTTTATTTTTTATTCATTTAAAAACAAAAAAAGTTTTTTTTTGGTTAAAACAATTTAATTAATTAATTAATTATTAATTATTTTATTTTCAAGGCATTTTATATATTAATTTATTAGGTAGTTAAGGGTTTAAGGTTTCTTTTTTTTTTTCTTTTTTTTTGGTCACCCGGATATAAATTTAAAAGGGATAAAGAAGGTCTAACCCGGGGGGGACAGGTCGGAATTTAAAAAAAAAAAAACGGCTGTAATAATTTAACACTCTCCCCCCGCCCAAAAACAAAAACAAAAAAAAAAAAAAAAAAAAAAAGAAAAAAAAATTTAATAATTATTATCACAGGGAGAAATGATTAAAAGCCGAATAAAATATTTGTTATACAGTACAAATAAATTAAGTATAGAAAGATTTATTAAATTATTATTATTATCATTGCACAATGGCCGTCGCATATCACGTGACACGGGAAAAGAAATCGATTGGAGAAGAAAACGTTGGAAATTTAATTGGATTTTATTCGTGTTGATATTATTGCAAGAAATAAATGCGACACTCTCAGGGATGTTACCCATAAAAAGTACGAGAATCGTCGAAACCAGGTATGGAAAACTTCAAGGTATGATTTATCCGATGGATCACGTGAAACATTTAAAACCTGTCGAAGTTTTTCTGGGAGTTCCATATGCGACTCCCCCCGTGAGAAGTAATAGATTTTCACCGACGAGAACTCCAAGTCCTTGGGAAGGTGTTAGAATGGCGGATAAAATGGGACCCGTTTGTCCACAAAAACTTCCAGGTATGCCCACTCCCCCCCCCATCCGTTTACCTTATGATAATGCCCTATAAAAAACCGATAATGATAACATGATATTTAATTATCAGGTATAAAAAATGAAACGGCGGCATTGGAAAAAATGCCTAAAGGACGATTGGAATATTTAAAAAGGCTTCTTCCTTTTTTAACCAATCAAAGCGAAGATTGTTTGTACCTGAATATTTTTGCTCCGGCTCAGGGTAAGTTTTTATAAATTTTCATTATGTATGTATGTAAGAATTTTTTTGGAAAAAAAAAAAAAAAAAAAAAAAAAAAAAAAAAAACTTTATCGCGGGTTAAAATCCAACAATTTTATTAATGTTTAATTTATTTTACTAAAAAGAGAGAGAGAGAGAGGAGAGAGAGAAAGGAGAGAGAGAGAGAGAGAGAGAGAGAGGCGGAATAAAGAAAGAAAAAAAAAAAGAAAAAAAAAGTTAAAATATAGATAAAAAGGATTGCATTTGGTTTTTAAGCCAAAATTCAACGCCATTTTTCATTCTCCTTTTTTTTTTTTTTTTATTTTAATTCAGATTTATTTTATACTAAAAGCTTCTTTGTATCGGATGGACTTATTGTCCGCCATATTCTTTTTTTTTTTTTTTTCAAACTTATTTTAGTGAATTTATTTGGTGGGTTTTAAAAATTTTTTATTTTTTGAATTTTTTAAAATTAAAAATAAACTCCGATCGATTCATGTATGTATTAATTAAAATTATTAAAATTTTTTATTAACGTTTAATTTATTATTAACGTTTCTGCGAAAAAAAAAAAAAAAAAAAAAAAAAATTCAATGATGACGATGTTAAAATGTTTGTTCTGTTTTTTTTAACGCTTCGTTGAAAAATTTAAAAATTTTTTGTTGTTGTTGTTGTTTTTGTTTTTGTTTTGTGTCTCCCTTCTGTTTTTTAAATTTCCTTTTTAAATTAAGGTTATAAAAAAAAAAAAATATCGATCGAAAATTTGCATTAAAATTTCTTCTTTCCCTCCCCTCCCCCCATGTAAAGAAATGGCGCGTAAAAATATGATGGCGTTGAAAACTTTTATATAAATATATATATATTTTGTTTTTTTTATAAAATTTTTATATAAATTTATATATTTATATATATGTACGTGAATGTACAAACAAACGCACAAGTTATTGATTTTTTAATATAATTTTTTTTTTTTAAAAGGAAAAAAAAAAAAAAGTTTTAAAAACGGGTAGAAAAAAAAAAAAATATCATCATGCATAAAATAATAATTAATATTAAAAAAAAGAAGGCGAGAAGTAAATTTCTTTTAAAAAAATTTTAATTTTCTTTTCTCGCGTAAAATGAAAGAAAAAAAAACGAAATAATAATAATAATAATAATAATAATAATAATAATAATAATAAAAACTGATATTTATGTACAAAGAAGAAACTAAAAATTTTTTTTTTTACCCCCCTCCTTAAAACTAGTTGAAAACATTTTAACAAATGTTACTAAAAAGGAAGAAAGAAAGTAAAGAAAAAGAAAAAAACAAAATGGTTCCATCAGTCACTTAGTTTTAACATCAAAAAATTTCTTTTTTTTTTTTTTTTTTTTTTGTAACAATCTAATATATTTTCATTTATAACCGTTATTGTCGTTATTACTGTTTGTCGCCGTCACATTTTTACGATACGTAATATATATACTCACACACACACACACACATACAAGAAAAAGAGAAAAATAATAAAATAAAAAAAATTTTTTTCATTAAATAAATACGTTTAAAATTGAAAATAATGTCTATCGTATAAATAAATCGAGTGAGAGAGAGAGAGAGAAAAACAAAAACAAAACAAAACAAGCAGAAAAAATTTTTTTTTTCGGGGCCCTACGACAGTGGAAAAAACGTAAATAAAGGAGGCTGTGAAATTTTTTTTTTTTTTTTTGTTAAAATATGTTAAACCGACGCGATAAAAATTGCGTTAATATTTTAACCGTTAAAAAAAAAAATAAAAAAACGTTTAATTCCTTTTCTTTCTTTTTTTTTTTTTTAAATATTAATATAATAATTGTGAATCTTTTCATATTATTTAAAGTTTTGAAATGTGATATTTTATTATAAAATTATTTAATAAATGAATGGGAAAAAAAAAGAAAAAAAATTTTAAATAACGATTATGTTAGTGATATGTAATAATATGATATTTAATAAGATTAAAATTTTACGTCATTTCGCGTCATTTTCATTATGGTAAGAAAGAGAAAGTTAATTTATACATTGATTTACTGTGTTAAATTATATAATTATATTATTATGGTAAATGAATAAATGTATAATATTATAATAATCATATTACTATTAGTATTATTATCATTATTATTATTGGTGCTGCTGTTGCTGTTGTCGTTGTTGTTTTGAATGTTAATTATCACTAATGAGAAAAACAAAACTTTTTTTTCTTATTATTTGTTTTTTAAATTTAAGTGAAATGTGGGAGGAAAGGGGAGGTGGGAGGTAGGAAGAGAGAGAGAGAAAAAAAAGAAAATTTTTCCAATTTGGCTTGAGGCCCGAAAGAAAATTCAAACAAGTGATTTTATTTTTAAAGAAAAACGTTTTCAATTGGCGAATAATAAAAATTTTATTGCTTTACTGAAAGTTTAAATAAAATATTTTTGAATCAAGAACCCAAACCTATAAATAAGTTTAAATTTAAATTTAAATTTATTTATTTATTATTTTTATTTTATTTTTTTTGTCGAGGGTGCAAAAATAAAAAGAGTATATTTGATTTCAGATTAAATTTAAAATCTAAAATGGCAACCAAAATCCCTTTTTTTTGTTTTTTTTTTTGTTTTTTTTTTTTAAACTTAAAATTAAACAGTGGTGGTGGTAATGATGATAATAATAATAATAAGTTGAATT